GAGAGAGAGAGAGAGAGAGAGAGAGAGAGAGAGAGAGAGAGGTTTAAATGAAAGTTAAAGAGGATTAAAAGAGAAACATACATAATAATTTTTTTAAAGAGATAGAGAGAGAGAGAGAGAGAGAGAGAGAGAGAGAGAGAGAATGTGTGTGTGTGTGTGTGTGTGTGTGTGTGTGTGTGTGTGTGTGTGTGTGTGTGTGTGTGTGTGTGTGTGCGTGCGCGCGCGAGCACGTCTGTGCATGTTGGAAAGGGTGGGGCAAAAGTAATGTTCTACGAGTAACTCCAGGAAACTCGGAGACGACAAGGAAGCGTTGATCGATGTCTCCGGCAAAATGATGAACAACCCGGCTACTTTATCGCCTCTGACTACATTATTTAGGGCGGCTCTGGGAACTTTGTTTGATGCAGGAGCCGCGAGAATGGAAGAGGTGTCCCCAGCCACTGATACATCTCTCACTCCCTCCTCTGTGGGCATGGACTAGATCTAGTCGACGCTTCCCTTAGCCGTCACAACTTAGTGGAACTGATGATAAATCGATAACCTGCCGACTCGACACAAGACTGATAAATTATGAACACTTTGCCCAAAGCATTAATTAAAGCTCACTGGTGGAGTGAATTCCTTCATGGATGTTTGTATTGCTAGAATATTCAATGGACGTTCTTACAGCTCGGGAGAAGTATTACCCACAGGCGATGGGACTGGGATAGACAGCATGGCATGCATACTTGAGTAGCGATTTTTTTGAAAAGCTACAACTCTTAGAATGTCCTGATAAAGAAAAATCCTTTCAGCAATATGTTATTCCAGAAAAAAAACAAATAAAGTAAGAACACCATAAAAAACCTAGATAGCACAATTAATTGTAACACATTTTGTCAGTAGTTACGTTTGTTATCCAAATAATGTTTTTAAAAATGTCTTGGTATATTATGTTTTTTGTTGTTGTTGTTGTTTTTGTTGTTTTTTATGTTGTTTTTGTTGTTATTGTTGTTGCTGTTGTTGTTGTTGTTGTTGTTGCTTGTTTGTTTATTTGTTATTTCCAAAGATTTGTATTATAATAACCAAGACTGCACTGTGACGTTATTCCGGTTCTCCATAGAGCACACAATTGGAATGTACTTGGAACCAAATGTAGGCCGAGAGGGAAAGGTTTCCGCCACTCCGCTATAACACTAGAGACCGTCATTTACACGTTGATGGTGCGCACC